TTTTTTCTATATAACATGAAGCTATATATAGATTATATATATATAATTTAATTCATAAAATTAATAAAAATTATGAAAAATATGCTAAACAAAATGCAACTTATCAAAGTTTTAGACTATTTTAATTTTATTAATTGGTTAAAGCCTGTGAGGTTTATAAAAGTAGTATAAAGTCTAAATTTGTTTAAAAATCAAACATTCTTGATCATATAAATAAAGTTATTGAGATGGTAGTCTGTGGTATAATAATTTCTTATGAGAATATAAATCAAAACTAGAAGAAAATACTTATTTCAATATTTACTTTAGCAACGATTTAACGACTTCTGTTCACCTTCTGTATTGCAGTATCGGTCTCGCTTATTACTCCACTTAATAGATCATTTAAAATAAACCTAACTTAAATGTTCTATTCCAAAAGAATCATATTGCGCTTTGGGCAGTTTAAAAAACACACTAATAACTTCATAAAGTCTCGTTTTTTCTCTCTAGAAAACCTTATCTTTGAAATTGTATCCAGAGCGCATCTCAATATAAATTCCATTGACGAGATAAACAGAAATAGAAATGATAGCAAAGTGTCATTTAAGATATGTTTGAAACCAGAATACGGCACTGAGTTCGAACGGTGTTAGCATTCGAGAAAATACAATGCCATTGACATTAATGTCATTTGCTATGGAATGTTGTTGTCAATTTGATTTTGGAATCGCACTATTGATATCCAAAGTTTGTTTTTTAGTTGTAATTTGGTCTCCGTTATATCCATTGTTGCTTACAACTTGCATCTGATTTGCACGTGTGTTATTAGTTTAACCAGATGTTTCCGGTTGAATTGAAGTTACAAACAATAAAAATAATATTGAATATAATTATGAAGATAGTAGTTATAACAATGATAATCATAGTAATAACACTTTTGATCATATTAATCATAGTAATCATAACATGATTTGATTTTTTATATGATGATATTTATAATTTTAAATCTGTTTAAGCTCATCTCGATTAGGGTGCGTTTAAGAGTCGCGCCTTCGATTTCATTTAAAAAAAAGTGGGGGGGGGGCACTACAGTATATGAATTTGGTAAATAATAAATTTTAAAAAAGGCATATTTTTATGTAGTACTTAAGCCCTTTTAGAACAATAAATCAGTAAGTTGTGTCGTCCTCACAAAAGGTATATACGGTATCGGGGCCTATCTATATGACGTTGAAAGTTCGTAAATTCTGTATTATAACAGTCTGATAATTTTACTGGAAACGAGAAGATACTTAGGTTTTTATATTAACAAACAAGTAGGCTAAACATCCTTATTTGTATGTAAATATAGTACTTTATATGGTTAATTATTTACCTACTTGTAAAACCTTTAAAATTCAGTAAAGCCATCACATTGTGACGCAATTCTTCGTGTTTGTTTGATGTCTACACCTTCTTTCCCGTTACAATAGGCTTGGCTTGCAGACAATAATTGAAGATTTGACCGGCCTCTACCGTACACCAACAATATTGTTCTACTTTCTTATTCTTTCTAGTAGCATCAACAATAACCTACGAAAAGTAAAGATTGAAAAATCTGATAGTGATATTTTTCAGTTTTGCGCGTTTACCTTTTCTAAAGATCACATTTCGGTGCTATAGAGTACTTTTGAGTTATTAATTTAAAAAAAATGCTGTGTGCATATTATATTTTATGCAAAAGAAGTTATCAAATACATTCCACTAAATATCTCTAGAACATACAGAACTTGTACAAAACTACAGAAAGCAATGTCATATCCATGGTGCACAACGGAAAGATTTTCAAACATAAAAAGAAACCTGTATAGAAATTATTCTCGTTCGCTCATAACATGTAAACAATACTAATGCAATTGTTTATTAAGTCATGATATCCAATACTTTTTATGGACATTAGGATTAATAACGAGAACAGGAAACGTACTTTCTCATTTTAAGATTTTTCTTGTTTATTTGCTTCTTCCTTATAGGTATTGAGCGTATAGGCTACTGTAATTAAACAAATAATTATATAATAACTTGTACAGTCGTAAGCTTTGTTGTTGATTAACACATTATCGAACCAGTGTAAATCGACGTACACTTAATTAGCGGACCTAATTTTGGGTTGCTATTTCGTTATATCTAACCACTTATAAGCTCACGACAAATGTTACAGACCACAAGTCGATGAAATATCATAAGCTCAATAGGCCAGGCTATTAAGTAGAATAGGCCATCTGAACGTTGTCTTGACAAAATTGTAACACTGTCACTCGGAGCATCTTCCTCTGCTTGACTTCATGGGTGGTAAAGAAACCATGCATGATTGATTGGTGAGAGGTCAAAACCTCAAATATTCTTTGCCACTCATTTTCTTCAAGGCTGTTCTTCATCTCAGAATACTACTACAGTATAAGCTTAGTAATAGACAAGAAATCTTGCCCCCTCGCATTTGCTGCTCTATCTCATGCGTACAGTATTTCTCTATCGCCAGAGGGGGAAAATTATAGGTTGTTAAACTGATATTTTTTTAACCGAACTGGATGGGTATTTGATGAAAAACGATAACAGGAGGGAAAGGGCAGTTACGCTCCTTTCTCCCAGTTTTTAAATATTTAAAAATGTGTATCTTATTAACCGTTCCCGGGTTTGTCATCAATCACCCCTTTGTTGTCTTAGAAATAATCAGTACAACATATTATAGGCTTATGCATTTCCACTACGGACTCGCTTTAAGGGGGCAATACTCCTGGTAAAAATTTTTTTTTATTTTTTTTATTTTTTTGGCTTACTACCTTCATAGACCATCTGATTGACAGAAAAACATATATAAAATGTCATATTTCACTTATAAGTATTTTTTTTAGATATTTTAAAGATGTCAGTACAACCAGGAAGTAGAAATTTTAAACCCGGAAGTGATATTCTACCATAAAAAATCATCTTTTATGACATAATAAATAGTGAAAATATTTATTTCAACTGACTGAATTCTTAACACACTTTTCATTGTAAACTTTGGACTTGCTGGTTATGCATGAATGACTTGGCAAGCTTCCATTGTTACTGTACTGTTTACATCCAAATTTAAAATACCTTGAAAATTTCAAACGATCAATATCATGCCTAAAGTCTCAAAATCCAAGCATTTTAGAGGCAAAACAGCATAGGAAGTTAAAAGAGAAAGTGGTAGACCAGAATTAGAAGATGTTACTGGTGGTGAAGTTGGAAAAAATGAAGTTTCAAATGCTAGGCCTAGCCTAGATCTCAACAACTAGGATTAGGAAGTAGGCCTATTGGTGGTATTGGTGGTGGTGGGCGTAACCCTGATGAAGCCTTAGGCCTAGATGAGAGCATGTCAACAAGGGCTGGGACTAGTGCTAGCAGCATTGGAGCAACACCAAATGAAGAACGTGAAAGGAGGAAGGGGTGGACTAACAGATGCCTTCGTAAAGAAGTTGGGTGATTTTTATATAAGTGCGATTTATAATAATAAGGATAAATCAGTCTCCTGTGTGTAGAGCCAATGATGAACAGAAACAAAAAAGAAAACAAAAAAATGATGATAAAATTTGTTCAGAAGAGCACCAGTTAGAAATTGAGGGCCCAAGTTACGGCAGCGGACTTTTTGGAGACATTTCAGACTAGAAAAAAATAATTAAAAAAATATTTAAAAATGTATTGTAGACCTTAGGTGTAGGTTTTGTTATACCTGAATACCCTATGGTTATGTTTCAAAGCTTTAAACATCATGAAAATGTAATTTATTAATTTTAATTATTAATATTGTACGAAATTCTATGAACAGAACTTTACACGGCGTTTTCTCAGAATACCATATTTTAATTACATAATTGCTAATAACTTCACAACGAATAATCAGAATGTCATGAAACTTGGCAGGAATGCTCGTTACAACAAGGGCTTCAATTGGATTATTCAGAATTTCTCTATGTGTTATACCTTTCATTTTATGAACAAAAAATTGCTATGTTTTCACACGAATCTGGAAATTTTTCATTAGGTCATCATTTGGATTCACATTTATATATAGCTAAAAGCCATAATCCAGCCATTGATTGATAAGTGAATATCACTTTGGTTAAATATGAATGCCATACCTTGAGTAGATAAAATGTTTTTAGCATTTGAAGATTGACGGTCCATTTTTATTCTGAAAATATTTTTTTGGTTCATGACATTGTAGTTCCAATAAACTCAGAGTTATGGTTTAAATTTACATTCAGTCTTGTAGAGTATTTATTCAGCTTCAATTTGGTATATAACTTGGTGGATTGCAGTCACTAATACATTTTTTATTATTTTTTTTTACACGTGGGTCCTAAAATCATCCGTTACCAGGAGTATTGCCCCCTTAATGCGTTATCCTATTTCTACTCAAAAGCAATAGACGAATATGTTTTTATACATGCTATTGACTTGAGTTTATCAGCTGAATGAGGTAGTACTGGTTACCCCCTTGATCGACTCAATCCATCAGTGGTGTTGGCCTAAACTTTTATCTACTGTATTTTCTTTTTTTTTTTTTTTTAGTTATTAGCATTATCGACACCAACATTATTATTGATACCGTTGTTGTTGTTGTTGTTGCTGCTGCTGCTCTTTTTGTTTTCGTATTGCTGTTGTGATTGTCGTTGTGGTTGTTGTAGCCATTGTTATTGTTATTACTAAATTATTATTTTCTAAAGTATTATTATTATTATTAAATATTATTATTATTATTATTATTATTCTAATTATTTATTAATGCAATTCATTAATTGTAATTATAAAATTAAGTGGTACGTTTAAACCGCAATTGTGTGTGATACATTGGTTAAAGCTATATCATCCAAATGCCACTTCACGCTGTTTACTTACAGTGAAATGACTGTATATAACACGGTTTCGTACATATAATTACAATTTTGTTTATGTTGAATTATGTTTAAAGGCAACGTGGTAATTTATGGTACTCTTATATTTATTTACAGCGATGCGCAACATGCAGACGACTCAGGAACTAACAGAAAGCCCGACGATGTGTGATAGGAAGTTCATGTTAGCTCACCATCCCAATGCGACATCCATACACCACGCAGGAGCAGTGGGGCCTTACTATGCCCAATGTGAGAGAACCTAGTGGATACCCCAGTTGACGAATGAAAACGCAGATGAAACGCAACGGAAAAACCACTTTGAAGCGATGCCTACAATAGCGGTGTGGCGAAAGAGCACAAGGACAGTTTGCACTGACCTTCTCACTTTCTTTGTTATTTAAGGCAAAAGGATGGATTTTCGACGAAAGCTTCAGCAGTTTGGTAAAAAGAACATTTTGATACATTACAAGTTGAAAAAAAAATATCATCGTCTTGAATGTAACGTGTATCCGTATGCCACTGTCTACTTGAACAATTTGTTGAATCTTTCTTTCAAATACCTACACATTCCGTGCAGATGGCATGCGCACCGGCACTAGTATGACAACCAGTGTCTGTACCACTCCATGTTTTCGAATAATTGTATTTATTTGAAATTTTATCTCTTTCAATTAAAATCAGTGTTAATCATCAATATATTAGTGTGAACGTAGCACGTCGTGGTATGCTATAAATTATTGGTATTTATAATTTATGGATAACTTACCAAAATATGCTATTGATTTCCCGATTAGAGTAACTTTACGGGGAACAGATTGAATATTGCTTTGCAGAACATGAATATACATTTGTGATTCTTTCCTATCAGGTTTTCATTATAAGAGGCTATTTAATCAGTGCATGAATCGTTTTATTAACAACGATCATTAACATAAGACCAAAGACGTAAATGGTAGTGATTTTTCTATTGTATAACGATATTGACGAATTCTATGAATGACAATGATTTTGTGTTTATATGTAGGTAGAGATAATACAAATGAGAACGCCATGTCGGTGTTTGACAAGCCTGTGTTGAAAGGAAATGACAGCATGAGAATAAGATTGTGAAAGGAAATCAAATTTGTACCAATATTATTCTTTAAAAAGCCTACAATCCACCATGGTCATATCTTGGCACCTGGTTTCCTTGGCGATATGAATCAACGAGGGAATATTTGATGGGTTAAAACGTATGAGATATATTTATGTTTGCTTCATTTTGCTCTTTTGTAGATTATGTGAATATAAAGTAAGTGTAAATATGTTGATGTTATGGCGGCAAGGTTTGATGTTGGGTGTATCTATTTCTTTTATAGGCCTAAAGCCATCATATCAGCAACAGCTAATCAACATAAAGAGCTTTTTTAGTTACTAAATTTATTTGATTTGTTTACAACTCGAATAGAGGGGTAGACAATGCGCGTTTATACTTATTAAAATCAAGTAGCCCAAGCCATATTTAGTAGTGATCATTTATGTAGCTTTCCTATGTGCATAGTGGCGATAGAATTAAACTTTAAAGTAACAACGCAATGTCTCCGTCTATTATGTTTCCGTGTTTTATCATGATTTTTAAGTAAGAGACCATTGTTACAGGAGTCTTAAACCAATTCCTAATTCTGATCAGATATTATTATTATAATCCATTTCAAAACATAGGCCTATCCATTCACAATTCATACTTCGTTCCCCTAAATGGGGTTTATTCACCACCAATATATGGCCATTGGCCCAGTCAGTTTTGCAAAGTACCGTAACCAGTTTTCTTTTTAAAAGCAAAATAAACAAAATTTGTTACATTTTGTGTTAATTTTATGTTAGCCATTAATTAATTATAATATCTTAAGGAACAGTATAATACAATTTAGGAATAAATCATTTCTGATCTGGGAATAGTATAATGTAAAATGAAATTCATTTTCGATCGAGCAGAGTTAAAAAAGACGACATTGGAGTGGAATCTTATTTAATCTTCCCTTTACCGAAGTTTATTTTTTTTAAGTTATAGAATCCGATGCCCGTAAATTCAAATTCTAAAGCATTAATCAAAAATATATAAACAATTGATCGTCTAAATCACCATAACGTATATTTTCTATTGTTTTGGTCTCAGGTGCACCGTACTGTACTCTAATGGCAGGTTTTGTAGCGCCATAGCATAGCACAAAATTGACCAGTAGTAATTTAATTCAAATGGTTAAATGGTACCGTATATTAGGTTACACAGTAAATAGTTATTTTATCATATTAATATATATATATAATTATTATTAAAATATTTATTCAGCTCGTACAGCATAATTGTCAAGAATGAGGACAACGATAATGAGGTATTCGTTATCGTTTTCGTAAGGTCGCGATATCTCTATGTGCAGTACATACATGAATACATTATTTTTTTTTTTTATTTACGTACTCAAAGGGAATTATTTTAGGTCTTACTTTTAGAACTACTACGGCCTGATCGCTTTGGGTCGTGTTAAACACTACGAACTTTCTGTGGTTGGTACCGTGTGTTTCGGCGACTGGAAATTAGCTAAAACATGGTAATTATTGCTACTTATTCAAATGATTGCCCGACGCCATACTGGTGGTTCCATCTTAAACCTTACTCTTTATACACCTCATAAATTTATATAAAGATCAAAATAATCATGTCAGTTACTGGCATAATAATAATTATGTCATGCCATTGTTATTTAATTACATATAAATCATCAAAGAAAGGTGTACAGAGTTCAAATAAAGGATAAAACATCGTGTAGCATACAGTAGCTCTCAATGAATGCTGTCCATAAATAAATATAGAAATTGTGTAATAAAATGCCTCTGACGGGATTTGAACCTGCAGCATCTCGCTGTCAAGGCGAGCGTCATAATTAGACCACAGACGCTTCATAGTTGAACAGATAACGTAATCAAATAACGTCAGAATAGGTACTGCTGGAAACAAATAATAACATATAATATAAATCAAGATAACCGTCAACACTGTTAAATTATATATAAATCATCAAAGAAAGTTAAACAAAGTGTTCACATAAAGGATAATGCATCGTGTATCATAGCTCCTGTCTCTTATACACATCTAGATGTGTATAAGAGACAGATATATATATATATATAGATTACAATATGTTACCTCTTTAAAGGCTTATTTATTACCTTGAATTTTAACATTTTAATTTTATCCCATAAAAATTAAAATAAAACCCATAGGCCTATCTATTTATAAGCTTACCAATTTCAATTATTAGTCCAGTTTATCTAAAATCACTGGGGAAATTTAGTTTAAAATATTTGATAACACATATCAACAGTAACCTTTTCTCGGTTTGATTTAAACACAAGTTGAAGAAAAGGGGGTTTAAAGAAATGTTTAATTTTAATGTATATTGCGCAAAACCTTGGTACATCGCCATTAAGTTCCATATACCGTTTATTATACTATGTAATTTCTGGACGGGAGAAAAACAAAATATAATAGGCCTAAATTAAGCATTGCCTTTATATATAATGCATTTAAAGGTGTACAGTGTTAAAAATGGGGAAACCCCAAATAATTCATTAACAGATCGAGAAAAAAAATAGTTTACAGACATTTTACTAATGCTTATAAATTGATTGTATTACACTGAGGCTAAAATTTCTTAGAAATTAACGACAAAAATAAGAACAAATTGAGGTTGAGGTAAAATGTCAAATAAGATGTTAAATCTTTAAAATACTAGAAAAACCAAAAACAAAAAATTATATTAATTTTGTATTATATGTGCAGTAGGTGTGACTTTGTAATAGTATCCTCTATGTGTACCACCTGTCATTTTGGACCATCGGCGTTTTTTTCTCGGGCCGTTTTGCCAAGGCCTTTTTTTCAGAGGCGATTTTTTCAAGAGCCACATTTACCTACATTTCAGTACAGTACAGTGTATCCTACTGTACAATAACAATTTTCTGTTTTAAAAGTGTGTAAAAATAAGAACAAATTAGGAATACTTTGAGCTTGAAATCAGTAAAAAAATAAGAACAATGGGCCTAGGAAAAATTGTGCTGGTTCTTTTTAAATAAAGTGTACCAGCTATTAGGATGCTATTACTATGAAGAAAAAGAACTGTCCTTTAATTGACAGGGACCTGTTCACATCCCAATCTTAATTATAAATTGGTAATTCATTTTCTTGTATACAATATATAAATTAAGCAATTAAAACATAGAATTGAATATTTCAATTTTTAGTTCATAGCAGGCAGTACATCTTTAAAAAAAAACAGTGCCGTTTACCATCACTTCAATATCCTAATAAAAAATATTGTTCACCATTCAACCACACTCCAAAATGAAAACAATTATCACGTTGTGTAGAATTAGGCCTATCTGGTCTTATATACTGTATCCCAATGCCAAAAATTATCGAATAAACTTTCCAATTTATTATCATTCACGCCTGAGTGATTTTGAGGAGTCGCGGGACGATTGTGGTGATCCTCTGGTAATGTGGATGACGTTACATCGCCGAGCAATACACCCGATTCACTGGCGTAAACTAAACAGAATACTTGGGTTACCTCGGCTGGGGATTCGAGACACACGCTCAAGACAAAAGTTCAATTAAATATGTAATCCTTCTGCAGAAAGACACAATTTTCGTGAAAATCGAAGGATGAATTCAATTTACGGGCTCACGTGCCGCAAGAATGCTGTATCTCAACTTTCGCTGAAAGAAGTCGGAATTCTGATCTTTCTTTTTTTGTTTTATTCATGTGTCTTATATGTACTGTATTCCTTGGCAAAAGCAGCGATATAAATCATATTATTATTGATAATGATGCTAATCACGTCAGTGTGTATGTAGGCCTATGATTGTGTAAGATAATAATGTGTGAAGAAGAGGATTGTTGTTTATACTTGGTTCATGCAAAGAGGTATTGGCTACGGTATGTGTAAAATCCTGTAGGCCTATACAAACCAACAACACCACATCTATAGCCTAATAATAATAATAATAATAATAATAATAATAATAATAATAATAATAATAATAATAATAATAATAATAATAATAATAATCATTATTAGTAATTTGAAATTGGAGCTTTAATGGTAGTATTGTAGGCCGATATTATTTATATAATAATGATTATTATTATTATTAATATTATTAATAAGTATGCTTATAATTATCAATAATACGGTATTGTTATTATCATTAGTACCGTTATTACTGTAATTATTTCTTTCCTTCTAAATCACTGTTGTTTTACTTCAAATATACATTATATTTACCAAAAACAAAACAAAAACAAAAAAACAAAAAAAAATCAGATGTATTTAATTATTTTTTTTCTATATTATTATTATTATTATTATTATTATTATTATTATTATTATTAAAGCCAAAATATTATCATTATCGTTATATCCTAAATATTATTATTATTATTATTATTATTGTTAAATAGATATCAACCCAATCTATCAACATTGATTACATCGTGGTGTTTTCCTTGTGTTAAAAGATAAAAAAACAACATAAATAGAATTAAAATACCCCTGAAGTTGGCATGGCCCTAGTAATGAATTATTGTGCTTTAAGCATTCGGTTACAATGTTGTTCTATTTAAAATAAATGTATATAAATGCGATATTATTAAATGCATGTAATAATTAATCATTTCTTAGAGGCGATTGTTTTAAGATTATGACAACAATATTAACATTGAAATTATCGTATCATTCTGTAGTACAGTAGGTCTATGAGCTATTTTAAACCCAAATGCACTTAAAATATAAATTAATAAAAATGAATTAATCGTAGTTGAATTTTTTTTTGTATAAAAACAACGAACAACAGTCAATGATATCACACAATTCTTTCCGGTTTACTTTCATTTGGAGCTAAAAGATGAGTAAGATGTCGAATGATGTTGTACACGTTTTGTTTATGGTTGTGAATCTCGTTGCTGCGAAACTTGCAACTGATAAATCTACTCGAGATGTTCAACTTAAATGAAAATTAACTCGAATTTGAGAGCGGTATCTTCCCAAATTCATCTCAATTGAAAATGATAAACAACACAGCCGCGGAAAACGCGACAGATTCGTCTACGAATTTGACTTGAAGCTTTCACGATAATAATATGACTAGCGATCGATTAATCTATCTGAATGACATGGTTTTCATCTTGTTTCATTAATGCAGTCATTTGTGATGAAGACAGAGTGGCTAACTGCAGCTTTCTACAAAAACCTCCAAAATGTCGTCCTTTTCGCGGATGCATCTCCTGACCGCCGATACAGGGTGATTGATTAGTGAGGTCAAGATAAGGTCACGGAATGGGTTTGGTGTGGGTCTGTGTGCGTTTGTGTGGGGTTGTAAAAATTCTCCATCATACGTGTTTGCGCACCTCAGTAAACAATAAAATGTAGATATAACATATAATAAGATTTTTAAGAGGAACCTTGATTTGGAGTTTGTCGCTCGAGGTGACCTTTAAACTGATGTTGAAAGGTTATCGACCATTCCTGTATGCGAA